CTAGACATCAACAACAGAAGGAAAACGGGAAAATCCACAAATACATGAAAATTAAGCAATGCACTCTTAAACAACAGGTCAAAGAAGAAATCACAAGGGAAATTAGAAAACCTCTTGAGACAAATGAAAATGAAAACACAGTGTTCCTGTGTTAGGCCATTCTTGGATCGCTATAAAGGAATACTCAAGACTGGGTAATTTTTAAAGAAAAGAAGTTTTATTGACAGTTCTGCAGGCTCTACAAGCACAGTGCTGGCATCTACTCAGCTTCTGAGGAGGCCTCAGGGAGCTTTTCCTCATGGCAGAAGGTGAAATGGGAAGAGCAAGGGAAGGCTTGAGAAGGAGAAAGAGAAGGGGGAGGTGCCACACACTTTTAAATAGCCAGATCTCATGAGAACTCACTACTGCAAAGACAGCACCAAGGGGATGGTGCTAAACCATTCATGAGAAATCTGCTCCCATGATCCAGTCACCTTCCATTTCACCTTCCTCCATGAGGAAAAGCACCCTGAGTCCTCCCCAGAAGCTGAGCAGATGTCAGCACCATGCATGTACAGCCTGCAGAACAATTAGTCAATTAAACCCCTTTTCTTTATAAATTACCCAGTCTCTGATATTTCTTTTTTTTTTTCTTTTCCCCCCGAGACAGGGCCTCACTCTTTCACCTAGGCTGGAGTGCAGTGGTGCAGTCTCAGCTCACTGCAACCTCCGTTTCCTTGGTCAAGCGATTCTCTAGCCTCAAATTCCTGAGTAACTGCAATAATAGGCATGAGCTACCATGCCTAGGTAATTTTTGTACTTTCTGTAGAAATGCAGTTTTGACATGTTGCTCAGGTTGTGTGGTATTTCTTTATAGTGATGCAAGAACAGCCTAATACAAAGTCCCACCTCCTACACTGGGTATTACATCTCAACGTGAGATTTGGAGGGAACATTCAAGCCATATGAGTGCCCAAACTTGTGAGATGCAGTGAAAACAGTACTAATAGAGAAGTTTATGGCTATGTTTACATTAAAAAAGAAGAAAGATTGAAAACTAACAACCTAACTTTGTACCTTAAAAAATGAAAAAAAGAAAAAGAAACTAAACCCAAAGCTAACAGAAGAAAATAATGAAGTTTAGAGCAAAGATCAATGAAATGGAGAATACAAAAGCAATAGAAAAAAATCATCAACAAAACTTAAGGTGATTTTTCCAAAGTATCTACAAAACTGACCAATTATTAGGCATACTAATTTAAAAAAAGAGAAGACTCAAATAACTAAAATCAAGAGTGAAAGAGGGGATATTAAAGCCAGTACAACATAAAATAAAGAGGGTTGTAAGAGATATACAAACAGTCGTATGCCAACAAACTGGAAAACTTACATAAATGGACAAAATCTTTTAAACACACAGCCAACCAAGATTGGATAATGAAGAATTACATAATCTGGACAGACTTACAACTATTAAAGAGATTGCATCAGTAACCAACACTCCACACAAAGAGAAGACCAAGACCTCATGCCTTCATTAGAAGATTTCAGCAAATATTTAAAGAAGAATGAACACCTGTTCTCCTCAAACTCTTCCAAAAAAATTAAAAGAAGGGAAAATCCCAAAGTCATTATATAAGGCCAGCATTACCCTAATAATAAAGCCAGATGAAGACAAAGAAAACTACAGACCAACATTCTTGATAGATATTGGAGCAAAAGTCATTAACAAAATACTAGCCAACCAAATTCTTAGGCATAGTAAAAAGATAACATACCATGATCAAGTAAAATTTATTGATGTAAAGTAAGGATAGTTCAACATAAAAAAATCATTTTAATCACATTAACAGAATGAAAGATGAGAACTACATAATCATCTCAATTGATACACACAAAAATAGCGTTTGACAAAATTTGATGTTCTTTCATGCTAAAAATGCTCAACAAACTAGGATGTAAGGAAACTATTAATACCGCAACATAATGAAGGCTATACATGAAAAGACCACAGCTAACATCAATCTCAATGGGTGAAAACGGAAAGCCCTTACTCTAGGATCAAGAACAAGACAAAGATGCCTGCACCCCTTCTATTTAACATAGTACTGGAATGTCCTAGTCAAAGCATTATGCAAGTGAAATAAAAGGCACCAAAATCAGAAAGGAAGTGAAATTGTCTCTGGTTACAGATGTCTTAATCTCCTATGCAGAAAGCCCTAAAGATCCCATTTAAAAACTTTAGAATAATTGAATTCAGCAAAGTTGCAAGATACAAGTCAACATACAAAAACCCATTGCATTTCTGTACACTAAAAATGAGCAATCTGCAAAGGACAGTAAGAAAACAATTTCATTTACAATAGCATCAAAAAGAATAAAATACTTTGGAATAAACCTAACCAAGGAGGTAAAAGACTTAAAACTAGAAAACACTGCTGATAGGTATTAAAGACACAAATAAATTGAAAGACATCCAATACTGTTAAAATGTCAGTATTGCCCAAGGTAATCTACCAATTCAGTGCAATCCCTATCAAAATCCCAATGGCATCTTTGGAAATATAGAAAAATTCATTTAAAAATTCATATGGAATCACAAGGGATGCTGAATAGCCAGAACAATCTTGAAAAAGGAAAAAGAGGTCTTTCTGATTTCAAAACGTATTACAAGGCTACAGTAATCTAAACATTAGGACTGGCATAAACGCAGACATACAGACCAACAAAAATGAACAGAATTGAGAGCCCAGATATAAACCATTAACCATATGGTCAAACAATTTTTGACAGATGTCAACACCATTCACGCAACAGGAACTATCTCTTCAACAAACGTTGCTGGGAAACTGAATATCCCCATGCAAAAGAGCAAGTTGGACCCTTTTGTTACACCATAAACAGAAATTAACTCAAAATGAATTAAAGACCTAAACATAAGAAACAGAAGTATAAAACTACTAGAAGAAAACATTAGAGAAAAGCTTCATGATATTGGATATGACAATGATTTCTTGTGTGTGACAACAAAAGTAAAAGCAACAAAAGCAAAATAGACAAATGGGACTACAAATGGGTTTTAATCCAACTCAAAAACTTTTATGCATTAAAGGACACATTAAAGTACCAATAAAGTGAACAGACAGCCTGAGGAATGGGAGAAAATATTTGCAAATCTGACAAATCGTTAATATCTAGACTACATACAAGTTCCTACAACTTAAGAACAAAAACAACCTAATTAAAAATGGGCAAGGGGGCTGGGTGCCATGGCTCATGCCTGTAATCCTAGCACTTTGAGAGGCAGGATTATAGGCACAAGCCACCACAGGAAGCAGGAAGATTGCCTGAGCCCAGGAGTTCAAGACCAGCCTAGGCAACCTAGTGAAGGCCCCTCTCTACAATAATGGTTTTTTTTTAAATGAGTCATGCATTGTGGCACACACCTGTAGTTCCAGCTACTCAAAGGGCTGAGGTGGGAGGATCACTTGAGCCTAAGAGGTCAAGACTTTAGTGAGCCATGATTGTGATACTGCACTCCAGCCTGAGCAACAGAGTGAGACTCTGTCTCAAAGAAAACAAGGACAAGTGACTTGAATCTACATTTCTTCAATGAAGGTATACAAATGACCAACAAGCATATAAAAAGATGCTCAGTATCACTTATTAGAGAAATGCAAATCAAAACCATAAGGTAGCACGTCACATTCATTAGGATGACTAGTTTAAAAAAAAAAAACAAAAAACAGAAAATAACAAGTTTGTCAAGGATTTGGAGAAATTAGAATTTTTGTGCACTGTTGGTAGGATTGTAAAATGGTGAACCACAATGAAAACAGTATGGTGTTTCCTCAAAGATTTAAAAATAGATTCACTGTATGATATGGCAATCCCCCTTCTGAGTATATGTCCAAAAGCACTGATAGCAGGGTTTTGGAGATATCTGCACATCCATGTTCATAGCAGCATTATTCACAATAGCCAGGAGGTGGAAGCAACCCAAATGTCAATAAATAGAAAACGGAAAAACAAAGCATGGTATATACATACAATAGCTTACTACTCAGTCTTAAAAAGGAAGAAATCTTGTCACATACTACAACACGGATAAACCTTAAGGACATTATATTAAGTGAAATAAGCCAGTGACAAAAACACAAATACTGTATGATACCACTTTTACAAGATCTAAAGTTATCAAATTCATATAAACAGAAAATAAAATGTTGGTTATCAAACTGGGAGAGGGGCAAATAGGGAATTCTACAATGGGTGCAGTTTCAGTTTTACAAGACAAAAAAGTTCTGGAGATTTGCTTCACAACAATGTGAATATACTTAACACTATTGAACTGTATGCTTTAAGATGTTTAAGATGGTAAAAATTATGTTTTGCCATACACGGTGGTCCTAAGAGGTTTTTTTTTTATTTTTTGGTTTTTAATAAGGTTTATGTTTCTTACAGAAAATGTGTTTTTCACAGCTTCATTATGTTTCAAACAATATTTTTAAACAATGTCCTGTCAAAGTTGCCAATATCTCTCTATACACCTCTGTACATCTCTAAGATATGGGGGTATATATCTCCCTATACGTTTAAAATGCTAATTAAAGCAAATATTAGGTAAGATATTTTCCTTTTCTTTTCAAATTACGTGCTATACGTGAAAGAGTAAAATCATTTCTTGCAATATTCCAAGATAAAATATTCCAGTAATTGGCTAACAAAAACAAAAAATATATAAATAATAAGCTGGTTAAAAACACTATATATAAGAAAGATATAAATGAATTTTTAAAAATCAATATTTGAAATCATTCACTATTCTGTTATCAAACTGCCGAAGTAAGTATAAGAATGACAGAAGTCATAGGGAACTAGGACAACAAGATTTTCAAATTGACAAAATAAAGAAAAAAGTTCCACTGGGATATGTGCAAGTTGTTCTGTAATCTTACTTATGAGGGAGTTAGCAGAAATTGTACTTAGTATTTCACTCATATATTAATCATTTTTAACAGAATTCCTGGGGCCCTTGGACAGAGGGGATATGCTAAATGAAGCTTTTATTGGCCTGTCTTTTGCACCTCAAGGGGAAGACTCATTTCCAGATAACCTCCCTCCCTCTGGCCCAACCCACAGACATATTGTACAACAAAGAATACTGAATGGCTCTTCTAACAGGTAAGAAATGTTGACTGACGAAACTGCTCCATAAAGTATTTAGTATTACCTGTTCAAATGCGAACTAATAGCAAAGCAAGAATATTTCAAAATGTGAAGGAGGAAAATTTGCATTTCTCATGGCTCAGACTTTGCAGGAGTTTGGTTATTCAGAGCAGGCATAATGAATGGCAGAAGTGAACGTAAAAATAATATTGCTACAATAAATGTTATTCTATGCCAAAATGAAATTACTACAAAATATTGTCTGCATTCTGCTGTTAAATTCTAGGATTGTTGGACTGCCTTTAATAAATATTAACTTTTAGAATATGTAGTTTGAATTATAATTTATATAATATTTCTTTAATGCAAGTTTACCATTAGTTTTTGAAATCTGATAAATGATAGTTTAAATATCTGATATCTGTCTAGTTTGCTACATGGGGTTATTGAAAAGATAAAGAATATGAAATTTTTTTAAAAAGTAATAATGTTATTTACAGTGATAATGATAATATTAATTATGATGATAATGATTCTCTCAAGCAAGGGTCAGCAAGCTTTTTGTGTAAAGGACCAGACAGCAAATATTTTAGGCTTTGCAGGTCACACAAACTTTTGCAACTACTCAATCCTGCTGTTACAGTAAAAAAGTGGCTACAGACAATATATAAATGAATCGGAATGGGGGTGTTACAATAAAACGTTATTTATAAAAATAGGCAGTGGGTCAGATTTGGTCCCTGGTTTATGCATAACATTCCTGCTTTTGAGGATCCTGACTATTTTCAGTAATTATAAAGAGGCCAAATTTAAAAAATATGTATATATCAATTATATATACCCACCTACAATACCCTCAAGAAAAATGCCTCAAACTATACACATTAACAGCAAATAAAGAGGGGGAGGATTTCCAAGTATGAAAGAGTTTATTTGGATATCGGCAAATCCTCTCCCCAAGAAACTAATATAAAACTAGACAAAAACCATCATTTCTGGGCGTTGGAAATCAAACAAAGGCAAACAACAAATTGATAAGCATTTATTCATGAAAAATTGCTGAACTTCTAGTAATAAAGTAGAAGTCTTTTATTTTCTTGCCTGAAGCTGCTTCCATCATCCTGCCCGTCCCCAGACTAGTTCTACCAGGGTAGCGCTGGCTTTAAAAACCAACAGCTGACTTGATTTGGAGCTGAGGGTGGAAAAACTCTACCTAGCAGCATTGTCTAATAAAAGTAGCAAACTATTGTCAGTAAAAGTGACAAACTTGATAGGAAATGCCAGTTCTGCTCGTCTGATTAGGGCAAGTGACTGAATGGCAAACTAGCCAAAAATTCAACAGGGAGATCCTGGAAATGAGAAAGCCAAAGAGGCGCTAATTAAACTCTCCACAAAATCTTTTTTTTTTTGAGACAGAGTTTTGCTCTAGTTGCCCAGGCTGGAGTGCAATGGCACGACCTCAGCTCACTGCAACCCCCCACCTCCCTGGTTCACACGACTCTCTTGCTTCACCCTCCATAGTAGCTGGGATTACAGGTGCCCACCACTGTGCCCTGCTAATTTATTTATTTATTTGTATTTTTAGTAGAGACAGAGTTCCACCATGTTGGCCAGACTGGTCTCAAACTCCTGACCTCAGGTGATCCACCTGCCTCGGCCTCCCAAAGTGCTAGGATTACAGGCATGAGCCACCACGCCCAGCCCGCAAATTCTTGATGGGATTGTATGACCTCTCATTTTTTGGCTTTGTCTTGCCTGGTATTTTCCACCTTTATGCTTCTTTCTTCCTTCACACCCAAATGCCAAAAGTGCCCCTCTCTTTCTGCCTTTTCCCTGAGAAGCTATCCTTTTTGAAAACTGCCTCTTCAGATTGCATGGTACTTTATAGCATCTTCCTTGTAGTTCATGCTTCAATGTACCAGAATATCAGGCGCTAGGGAGATCATGCATTAGCATTTGCTGTTATTTCCATTTTATTTACAGTTATTTTCAAGTTTGAACATTCTCTGTCTTCAAGTTATGCTAAGAACATGATTGTCATGTACTTTCATTTTTCCTTGTATAATGTTCTGTATTGTTTATAAAAGAAGTATTGGGAGATAGAACATAGGCGACTGCTGTTGTCTTCAGCTACCTAGAAGTCCTACCTCTTTATTTATTTATTTTTTTTATTTTGGGGGCAGGGTCTCACTCTGTCACCCAAGCTGGAGTGCAGTGGTGCGATCATGGCTTACTGCAGCTTCGACCTCCCAGGCTCAGGTGATTCTCCCACCTCAGTGTCCTGAGCAACTGCAACTACAGGCACCTGCCACCATGCCCGGCTAATTTTTGTATTTTTTGTAGAAACAAGGTTTCACCATGTTGCCCAGGCAGGTCTCAGACTCCTGGGCTCAAGTGATCCTTCTGCCTTGGCCTTTCAAAGTGCTGGGATTACAGGCGTGAGCCACCACGTCTGGATACTTCTTTAAAAACAATTTTACTGAGATATCACTTTACATATACCATAAAATTCACCCATTGTAAGTATACAAGACAATGATATTTGGTAAATTTATAAAGCTGTATGACCACCACCATAGTTTAGGTTTAGAGCATTTCCATCACCCCCAAATAGTTCCGTTATACTTAATTTCCATTCTCCTAACCCAGCCTGAGGCAAACATTGCTCTGCTTTCTGTCTCTAGAGAAATTTTGTATAAATGAAATCATATAATCTGGACATTTCATATAAATGAAGTCATACAATACATTGTCTTTTGTATCTGGCGTCTTTCACTTAGCATTATGTTACTGAGGCTCATGTTGTAATATATAGTTTATTCCTTCTTAATTGCTGAATAGTATTCTATTACATGGATGTGCCACATTTTGCTTATCCACTCACCAGCTGATGGATATCTGGGTTATTTCCATTTTGGGGCTATTATGAATAATGTTGCTGTAAACATTCACATTGAAGTTTCTAAGTGGACACATATTTTCATTTCCCTTGGGCAGATATCTAGGAATTGAATTGCTGGGTCTTATTCTAAGTTTGTATTTAATTTGCTAGTTTTAAGAAACTGCCAAATTATTTTCCAAAATGCCTGTAACATTTTACATACTCACCAGCAATATATAAGGATTCCAGTTTCTCAGTATCCTCACCAACATTTAATATTGTTGATCTTTTTTTATTATAACTATTCTGGTGGGTGAAGAATGATATCTAATTGTAGCTTTAATTTGCATTTCCATAACAACTAATGATGTTGAACGTTTCTTATTTGCTCATTAGCATTCTTTATTGTTATAACTATTCAAATTTGTTGTCCATTCTTTAGTTGAGTTGTCTTGTTATTGAATTGTAAGATACTTTTATAGATTCTGAATACAGGTTCCTTATTAAATACCTGATATGCAAGTATTTTCTCCCTGTCTGTGGCTTGCCTTTTCATTTTCCAGTAGTGTCTTTTGAAGTGCAAACGTTTCCAAATGTTGGTGAAGCCCAGGAGAGCAATTTTTTCTTTTTTTGATTGTCTTTTATGTGTTGTACTTAAATTCCTTTCTAATCTGAGAATGTGGATGGATATTTTCTCATGTTTTCTTCTAGAAGTTTTATAGCTTCTGCTCTTAAATTTAAGTCCATTTCGAGTTAATTTTTATGTAGGATGTGAATAAGGGTCTAAGTTCATTATTTAGAACGTAGAAATACACATTTCCCCAGTTCTTTTTTTGAGAGAAAAAAAACTCATTTTACCCACAGAATTGCCTTTGCTCCTTCATCAAAAATCAACTGACTATAGGTGTTAAGTGTTTATTTCTGGATTTGTCATTCTGTTCCATTCATCTATATGTCTATTCATACAGTAACAAGTGCCTAGACTTTGCTCTACTGAGGACCCTGCTGAACTAGGATCTCACAAAACATAGCCAATATCACAAAAATAAACAAGAAAAAGATGAACAGTTTCATACGAAGTTACGTCAAAGTAACAGAAAATGAAAACTACACACATCAATTAAGGAAAATTATCTTCCCCCAAAACAATCATGATGTCAAAGAAAACTGTACAACAACATACCAGGCAGAATTAGATATACTGGAATAAGCAACTGGGTATATTGAAACCCACTCTGAATTAGAAAGACAAAATGAGGCCAGGCATGGTGGTTCATGCCTGTAATTCCAGCACTTTCAGAGGCTGAGGCAGATCACCTGAGGTCAGGAGTTCAAGACTAGCCTGGCCAACATGGTGAAACCCCATCTCTACCAAAAATATAAAAATTAGCCTGGCGTGATGGCACATGTCTGTAATCCCAGCTCCTTGGGAGGTTGAGGCAGGGGAATTGCTTGAACCCAGGAGGCAGAGGTTGCAGTGAACTGAGGCCGCATCATTGCACTCCAGCCTGGGTGACAGAGTGAGACTCTGTCTCAAAAAAAAAAAAAGAAAAAGAAAAAGACAAAAATGAAAAATAGAAATGGACAGGAGAGAAGGAGGGAGGGATGGAAGAAGACACCAAGAAAATTGGCCAGGTGTGGTGGCTTGCACCTGTAATCCCAACACTTTGGGAGGCCAAGGTGGGAGGATCCCTTGAGCCCAGGGGCTCAAGACCAGCCTGGGCAACATAGCGAGACCTCATCTCTACTAAAAAAAGGAAAAAAAAAAAATTAGCCTGGCATGGTGGTCCATGCCTGCAGTCCCAGCTACTTGGGAGGCTGAGGTGGGAGGATCGCTTGAGGCCCTGAACATTAAGGCTTCAATGAGTCCTGATTATGCCAGTGCACTCCAGCCTGGGTTGCAGAGTGATATCCTGTCTCAAACAAAAACAAAAACAAAAACAAAAAAGTCCACTGAAACAAATAAATGAAAAAAAAAAGCATATTATCCAAAAATGAAAAATAAGTTACAGGGTACCCAAATGAGAATAAACGCATTATAAAACTTAATTAAAAACATTGAAAATGGCAGAAAACAAAAGAAAATGAGAAGTAAAAAGTCAAGACAAAGTAATGGAATGGGAGATAAGACAAA